TGGACCTCAGGGGTGAAGTCTTTGGGGAACATGATGGCCATGACCACGAGGATGTTGTGAGAGAGAATCTGTGAAAAGAGCATAATGAAATTTAAAACATGATCACGCATTAAACCCGCTGAGTGTATAAAATATCAAAAGGCTCCAAGAACCACAAGATGCGGTCTATATAATTAGAACTCGACACGAAAGCCAAAGAACCACAAACTACCATCTTCCCCTTTCTCCTCTTCCTCCTCCGCTCTATCCTCTACACTGACGTGTGAATCATCATCTATGACATCTACCTTGAAGTTGGCAGGGTCCACTCGCAGAGTGAAGGCATGCAGCTCACTGAGGTTCAGGAGACCCGCATTCAGGTCTTCAATTTTCAGCACAGCATCTGCAACTCCACCCATCACGCTCTTTCCGTGTTTCTTCACAGGCTCAGATCCGGGACTCAAGTCATTCCAGTGGGAGAAGTAGGTCTTGGTCTGCGGGTACACCACCAGCATCCTGAGTAACACATGAGAGTGAGTGAATAAACGGGAAGCAAAAGGCTGAATATAATTTTTTTTTAAACAAAACAGGTATTTTAGGAGCATGCTCGTGCAGTTTGAGGTTGTATTTACCTGGACAGAGCATCACTGCCGATTTCCGCAGCCTTGCCAGACGCTTTAGCCCAGAAGGCTCTGACTGTGTCCTTGTCCTTAGCGGTGAGACTCATCTTCCTTGACGCTTGTTTGGTCGAATGCCGATCAGCCTAAACTTTGGGTATTTTATACATGAAACAGCGCATGGGCACACCCGGGCCACCTCCAAGATAGGCTGATTTGGACAGCTTCCAAGTGATGTGTTGCAGCTTGCATGAGATAAACCTCTCATGAAGACTAGTTTGAAACATGCTGAAAAACATGGCCACTTTATGCTGATCACATGCAGTTTTTTGCATTGCATACATTATTTCCACCTATTCTGAAATGGTGTAGTTCTGCATGGGGTCCTTATATACTGGGGTCTTTATTCATTAAATTGCATGAATTGGTTATGACTGGAAAGCTGAGACTCTTGTGGTTTCAATAAGCACAAGTGTATTTATGTGTGATGATGTTAGTGCCCATAGTAATAATCATTTCACATAGTGAGACAATTTTTTGGCACTTGACCTTAAATGACCCGTTTTGACCTAACACCGCTTTACGGCAGTTCATGACATAGTCACGAAATAAATATTGGTTTAGTGTACAAAAACACAAACTGTCCGGTTTTTCGTTTGTGCACCACAATCTGTGTAACAAATGGTATCAAACCCAAAGTAAATGAAACTTATGAGACTTATTTGAGAATGGGAATGGAGATATATCCAATATAATGTTGTAAACCGTTTCACAATGTATTAATAAATAAATTGGTTTGTAATAATGATTTATGACTTGGACAAGTTGACATACAGCGATGAGATGCATCTCAAATTAATCTTCAGGTTCCCTCTCAGATGATTTAAGGCTTCTGTTGACCTGCTATCACCCTCTAAACATACCCTGTCCCCCACCCATACTCTTACAAAAATGGTAGGTGTTAACACTGCTATCCTAATGTTGCTTAATGTAACACACCCATCAATATCTATTTCCGCTGATTTGAAACAATCTAAGCATTGCAGATTAGCCCTTTCTTTATCAATTTCTTAAAACCGTAATACTCGGCCAACCCACTTCCCCATTCAATCCAATGATTGGACAGGATTACAATCGCATATTTGAGGGAGGAGTTAAAGGGTTCTTTAAAAAAAGGGCCTCATGTAGGCTACTGACCCACACAGTAGTGGAACAAATCTACAGCCGACAAAATGGTTGAATGGACAGACTTCGAGCGCGCCACCATCCAGGACATCTTCTCCAAGATGGACTATGAGGTCGTGGGTCCTGCAGCTCTTTCCAGGTGAGACATTGTTTCTGTTTTGTATGTTTTCCTTCACATAAATGTGTAAAAAGAAGTGCATTACCAAATCATTTTTAAAATTTTGAGTTGTGCATGTTTTTCCGTGTTTCCTCAGGTGTCTGATCGTCTACCCCTGGACTCAGAGGTATTT